TGAGACACTAAAAAGCATAATGAAACCTCTGGACATGTGTAGGAATTTGTTAATTTTGTGCTCACTATAGTTGATCGGGTAGTTATTGTCAGTAGTGACTTGGTGTATTATGGTGGGATTTCTGAAGACACTAGAGATAAATATTAAATCCGTTGTGTATAATAATAGTCCAGTATATCTTGGATATAATTAGTTTCTAATTTATCTTACCAGTTGTTTTATTTTTTTATCATTAGCAGTAACTGTGGTAACTATCTTCCCCAAGTCTACACAACAAACCCCGATTTGTATTACTAGAAGAGTTCTAATTTCCAAAGATTTCTCTTGATCATCTTGGAACTCTAAGTTGATAGGCTTCTAAGGAGAATTGAACAAGGTAGTTGAGTACTTCAGTTGAATCTTGTCCACATGCTGTCAAAATCCTGAGGAATCTGCAGTAACTCAGCACCTCCACAGTAGGTACAAGAAATGGTAATTTCTGAAAGGCAACCTTATGCTAGCTTATTTTGAGTTTGGAACACAACTTTGGAGACTGAAACCTGTCCAGAGGACAGTGGTAGAAGACAGCTAGGGAACATAGGAAGGGAATACTTAATTGCCATAAAGTGGATAGATGCCTAATCCACAAATAATTCTGAATTAACTACATGAATATGCTGTTTAATGTTCACAAGGTCATAGATGTTTTATGTAATATAGTGACTGCTGGATTATAAACTCCATGAGACAGCTTCTTTGAAGATAAGAATTTTTAAATTTTCAATATTTAGCACTAGCTCATATCCTCATTTAACCTACCTAATGCTGTTTCACTCAAATGTCTTTTCTTTCTTCCGTGTAACAGTTGTGTAGAAGATTCTGACCTTATTTGAGGTTTACATGTAGGTGAATATCCATTTCTCCATTGATTCACAGAAGTGCTATGTACTAAAACAAATGAAAAGGAAATATTAAGTTTTAGTTCTTTAACACAGATAATGAACATGTTAATCTCTTTTTATTTATAACAGTGCAGAATTTTAAGAAAACAGTTCAGATTTACAGATAATGAAATAAATACTTAAATACCAATATAGACAACTCAAACTAAAAATACCTGGAATAGGATTCCTTAAAAACATCTTCAGAAAGTACCCAATTTCCTGTATTTGCTGCTTTTTTGAAGGGGTTGAAAAGGGAAGGTGATCTGTTCTCAAAGTCTTCCAAATTGCAAAACATGTAGACTGAGGATTGGTTCAGATCTGTAAATCTTGGCCAAATATGATCTGAATCCTTAAGTTCTTCCTTACTCTTAAATCTGGAAATAATTCAGGACCGAGTAGGATTCAATAGGGTCACAACAGACTGGGACTCCTTGACAGCAAGAATCAGATTTCATCCACCTCTGAGAATGACTAGCACTATTCTTTCACTTTTTAAAAACAATGAATTTAACACTGCTTTAAGTCA